GTTGTATTCAGTAATATTCATCGCATTTAGACCTTCTACGATTATGAAAATCTTCTTATAGAAGTCTAGTTCTTTCTTATTTTAGAAAAAGAAGTCTTGCTCTTCTTTCTTGCCGCTACTTGCGTTGCGAGCCAATCTTCAAATTGTTACGGAGAAGTCGTATTGTTCTGTCTTGCCTTGGTATTTTTGTAAGTTTGGACGTTGTGAGTCTGATTGCCAAAGCTTTTGTTTGCGTATCCTATGATAGTTGAATCTTTAATTTGCATAAACCTGATCATGGCAAGATCCATCAGTTTGGTAATTTTGTCCAACGAATTTGCAACCACAGAATCAAACAAAATCAAATTATATTCAATATAGAATATCATGCACCAAAGGATTACATCAGAAATTAGAAGAGATGCATTACAGGGCTGCAACAACAAAAACAAACAGGCTTGGACGGCAGGAACCTCACAGCCACATAACTCAAGAGCTTACGTAATCAGGTGTAGTGCATCAGCAACGTTCTCTGCTAGTACTCTGCTTCAGCTACAGCCCATTGCAAATTAATCAGGGCTGCAACGTTCTCTTCAGTGAAGCAAGCAGCGCCTATGCTGCCAGGTCGCCATCACATCGATCAGCGCTGGGGCTGACTCGCATCAGTGGTGTGACTAGCCCGTTGGTATTCTTTTATAGAAGAAGACTCCGTGAGCGCCTTGCCAACTGAGCTACGCTCAGTTCTCTTTAACGAGACCAACCTGGGCTAGACTAGTGGGCTGGCTGCGAACTTCCGCGCTTTGCCAACTTAATTTAGAGAACTAGTAAGTATGCGCGTGCCACGCACGTCGTGTTAGAATCAACATTTTTTAGGGGATCGGCTAGAGATGCCCTTACAAAGGTATAGAGTGACCCCTAGATAATACAGTACTAGCAATATGGATGAAAGGTTACCACAAACGAGTAGTTCACTTAACCTTTATAAGATGACATCTCAAAGGGCCACAGGTCGAAAGCTCGTCCGTGGTATGTCTGATAGATCTATGCCTCAGCACAAATGACATGATCGCTTCTGGGATAGCAAACAACGCACCGGCATATATTATTATTAGAAGGATAGAGGAGAAATGTCAAGCCGTAAGAGGAAGCCCGACAGAGGTTACAGCTGCGGCAGCCTGCCATGAACAAGCCGCCATGGCAGAGTCGCGAGAGAAAATTTGCAGTCCATGGAGCATCCATTGTTTCTCTTTTGTACACAACCTAAGGGGCCTTGTAGTACTTGGTGGGCACGAAGGGCATCTTGGTGACCACGGCGTCGTACTGCTTACCGCGGACGACCACCTTGAACTCGGTCCCGGCCTTGTGCAGGCCGTTCTTCACGTACCCCATGGCGATGTTCTTCTTCAGGCACGGGCTGAACCCGCCGCTCGTCACCTCGCCGATGTTCTCCCCGGTGCCGCTCACGATCTCGCTGTGGCTCCGCGGGGGTGGCCCCTGCGAGAAGATGCCCACGCGCCGGATCTTGGGGCCTTCCTTGAGCTGCTTCAGGATCACCTCCGCGCCCAGGAAGCCGCCCTCAGCCTTCCTCCGCTTGCCGATCGCCCATGAGAGGCCGGCCTCGACCGGCGTGATGTGCTGCTCCATGTCGTTGCCGTACAAGCAGAGGCCAGCTTCCAGCCGGAGACTGTCGCGGGCGCCCAGGCCGGTCAGCCTCACCTTGCCCTCGGATTTCTCCAGGAGGGCCTTTGCGAGATCAACCGCGTTCTCTGATGGGACGGAGATTTCAAATCCATCTTCGCCGGTGTAACTGAAATGAGAAGAGTTTCAGAGACAGAAGCAAATTGTTCAAAACAACAACATCATCAATTGATAGACACATAAAGGACTGGTGTAAGAAGCTTCACTATAGAATTTGAAAGCTAAAATAAGATGGCACTTTATCGATTGCCTTTAAGCAACAGTAACCAAATAACATCCCATAGACCCACTTTTGGCATGCCAGATTGAACAGTAAAGTGATTTCAGTATTTATGAATTATGATGGACAAGTGATGCTTGGTCAATGTAAAAAAGTTAGTACTGATGCTCTTAAGGAATTGTCCTGGTATTAAAGAAAGGAGTAGAGTCATGATATTATTATTTTTTAGAATCATAATATTGAAACTGGAAGTAATAATAATGGATGAAAAGGATTATACCCAGTTCTGGTGAGGAAGCAAGCAGATCCGTTGATGTCAATCATCTTGAAATCACTGAAGTACATTTTGCTCAAATCTTCCTTTGTCAGCAACTGGAGAGTTGGTGCAGCAAGAGGACCCTGCTCATGTCAAGGAACAGAGTTACAATGGTGTCTTCCTGTAAATTCGGGAAATAGTGCTCCCTCCGTCCCATAATATAATAGCGTTTTTGACACTACTAGTGTCAAAAGCGCTCTTATATTATGGGACGGAGGGAGTACATATGTAGGAGAAGCATATCAAATGTACATAATTGCCATTAAAGTGAAAATGTATTACTTCGACAAAACCACACAAATAGCGCCAAGAAGTTCAGGATAGAAAGATCACTTCCCCCGCAATGTAGAATAAAAAAATCCTACATTGTGAAGATCATTTCTATTTTATGAATAGATGCGCAAACATTAATCCTCCTCTTGCTGAAACTTGAATTGGGTTGTTATGAACTGCTTCTATAATTTCATAGGACCTCGTAGTTTTTTTTTAATGGGACGAAAACTGGCAGGAGCAACTGCCTTTTCTATTAGGAGGAATGTCTGCTGTCACAATCCAATCTAGGCACCACTGGATTACATCAAAGTGAAAACACATAAGAAACTTTAGCTCGAGAGTCCACCAACCGAGAAAAAGACACGCAAACCTGCTCAACTACTACCTCAGAATTCAGATAGAGCATTGCATCTTGTAAGAACTAAGAAGCCAAAACTTGACCAAGCAAGCACAATTGCTAATCAAGAAATCTCACCAAGCAGCAAGATGAAAAAAAAATCCCTAGATTTTGGCGTCTGCACACCATCAAAAGAAAATTCTGCCATATTAGCTGAACTCATAGTCTATACAATATGAACAACAAACCATAAACTGACATCATCAATGATACTAATAATGTCTTTTCCCTAGTAAAGCTAAATGTTACTCTGAACTAATCACATTGAAACTCAATTTCACAAACAATGAACCGAATCGCCATGTGTCAACACTCTATCATATTGTACATTCCAAAACCTTTCCTGGCAGAAATGGGCCATTTATTTATGGTAGTACCCTTGTAGCTCCTCCAAATACTACAGCATTCGCTAATCCTAGAAATAAATATATGTATCCAACCTTGGGAATCTTCAACCCATTGCAGAAATCAATAATTAACCATAAACTGTTCAGAAAACCAATCAAGATGAAGAGAGCAGAGAAGGAAGGGCCAGCTGACCTGCAGGGCGAGGAGGGAGCGCTCGTCGTGGACGTGCCACTTGACGTCGCCGCCCTTCTTCTGGAAGGCCTCCATGTGGGCGCCGATGTGGGCGAGGTCCTTGTCCCGGCAGCCGGCGTTGACGACGAGGTAGACGTGGTGGTCGTTGACCTTGGTGACGACGGAGTCGTCGATGGCGCCTCCCTTGTCGTTGGTGAAGACGGTGAGGGAGCCGGTGCCGTCCTTGAGGGCGGCGACGTCGGCGACGACGAGCGACTCGAGGAAGGGGATGGCCTGGCTGCCCTGCAGGCTGAGGCCGCACATGTGGGAGACGTCGAAGAGGCTGCCGTGGGCGCGGCAGTTGAGGGTGGAGTCCATGATGGTGTCCTTGTACTGGATGGGCATGCTCCAGCCGGCGAAGGGCACCATCTTGCCCCCGTGCGCCACGTGGAAGTCGTAGAGCGCCGTCTTCTTGAGCTCCGCCTCGGCCGCCTCCGCCGCGCCCGCGAGGTGGCGGCGCGCGGCCGTGGAGGCGCCGCCCGTGGAGGAGGCGGCGGCGGCGCGGCGGGCCAGCGTGGCGCACGCGAGGAGGCCTCTCATCGTGGCGGGGTGGGGCTGAGAGGGGGGAGTGGTGGTGGGGGAGTGGGATGGGAAAACAAAAGATGAGATTTTGAGGGGTGGTGGTGGGTGGCGACGGGGAGGCGATCGGCGGATCGGGAGTGGGTGGTGGCTGCCGCTGCCTCGGCGCGAGCTCAGCTCGGAGGGGGTTTGGTGATGATGGATCAGTGAGCGATCAGTGGCGCGTCAGTGCCCGTCTTGTTGGCTTTCGGATTATTTTTTGTTGGGTTTTTGTCCGGCTTTGGTGGTGGATGGTGACGGCTCTCCCTCACCGGGCAAAGATCGTGTGCGAGTCCATAAAAAGAACACTTCACAGATTCTTGCTTTCTAGTGGTAAAACAGTCCAAATCGCAGACAGATTGAGATAAAAACCATTCTGATCTGAACGGCAAAACTGGGCAGAGACTAACGAAAAAATCATTCCGAGGATCCGCGTACGCATTGGCATCATGGCAGGGCAACTGGCCAGGAAGCAACAGCGCTGAGGCCATGCAGATACGGCATCCAAGACTATAGACAAACATAGGAGGATGGCAGCGCCCGACCAGGCTCAGATGCATGTTATTGATTCAGCAGCAGAGGAGGGAGGTAACGTACCTAACCCACAAATAACAATATTCTGGCAACCACTTGACATGGGATCACGAAACAAAAACACACCAGCATTGCCTTTCCAACAACCAAGCGACAGATTCTTCATTCATATCATAGGCCTAAAACCATCAAACCGATGAACCATTCCAAACTGAACTAAGACTTTTGGTGGTCAGATCTAGCAGTTCAAGAAAGCATGCCCATGCCATCCAGGGAGGCTTACAACCAGATCAAAACGCTGCTTCAAAATGCCAGGCGACGACGCGTCTCTATATAGGTATTCACAGGCTTCATCTCGCGGACATGAATTAAGGGTAAAACAGGTGACAACGTCTTGACCGCACATGTGGACGAAAAAGGTCTCGGTAAATTCTGCAAGTACCTCACTACTTAGACCCTGCAGACTTCTTCGAAGATGATTTCTTCTGCTTCTTCGGTTCCTTCTCGGGTATCTTCTCTGCCTCGACCGTCTTCTTCCTGTCCTTCCTCTCCCTCTTCTTCAAAGCATGCATGTGGGCTTTAAGAACCAGGGCATATGAAGCTTGGAATTTCAGATACTCCTTTGCAGACAGCTGAAAGGCATGGCAAGCACGGTAAGATTCACTGATTGGTCCAGAAATGCAATGAAAGTGCCAGGACAGATATGTTCAATAATGCCACCATGAAATGAAAATAAAATAAGTCCTCAGTCCTCATAACCAAAACAATATTGCAGATTACAGTTCTCTGATGACATTTCAGAAAATATTCATAGTATTGCCAACATATCAGAAATATAGCATGAACATTTACCATAAGCCCTAAGTGCACATATTTATCCAGCCTTAAGCAAGCACTTGGCGGAAAAAATGCCCCTACTTAGGTGAGTTGCAAAAATTTGATATGGCTGGGGCCAAATAGGTATGCACAAGGATAAACAGATTAGTTCATGTGAGTATTTATTTTGTGTTGTCAGGATATGAAATGGGAAGGCATGTTTCCAAATTGACAGCAGACATCATTACTAATTAGGATAGCTAGTAACCCTTCTACATGAAAATGAAGGAAATATAAGATAACAGAAATAAACAACAGTTTTGTAGCCATAAATAGGGACGCCTTACATCACCACTTCAACCATCAAAATTAAAAGGAGAAGTAAAACTGTTACCAAAACTTAGGTCATGGGAATTAGGAGTCTTAACATGTCAATTCTCCTTTTTTAGATAGACCGTGATTTCATTACTAAGACTTGCACAGATTGCCAGCAACAGTGTCTTGTGGAAAAAGATGCACATAGTCAATTGTTTCATCGGAGAGCATAAATGCATGGAAAGAAAAATGCATGGGTTCACATCGATGCATATCCTTGTCAATGGTAAATGCTCCTTGATGAGGGCTTTCACAAAAGCTAGATAAGGTGATATCATGAGGTGCTACAACATGATCTTGGGAAAATATCATTCAGGTGTTTGCAAAGTGGAAATAGATTGTATACACTTTGATAAATGGAGTTCAACTGATGTAAGATGAAACAATTAATGCGGGTCGTCACTGGTTCATGCAATTGAAACTTGGCAAGAGCAAGAAAATCTGTCCCATCCTTCAAATTTGCACCAATTGCTGAACCATCTTAACACTGGTAAGTTCTAACTCTTTCCCATTCAGTAATAAGATTGGTAATCAGGACAACTCATTAGTGATGGCCCCCTCTCCCCACTGCCCTATTAGTTTAACTACAGCTGTAGCAATACGAGAGGTTACTGCATAAAAGACTTGCACCACTATGATCAGAATGTACCAAACATAAGTGCTTCAGTCCTAACTTTATACTTGTCATTATGCTACTCAAAGTTACTGCATATCCCCCAGCACTGGGATGATCGCGATATGACACAATGATCATATATACAGTGTATCCTCTCTACATATTCAGGTAATTCTGTTGATTTACCTACCTATCAATTTCTCAATACGAACAAACCATCCTCACCTCGAAGTAACAACCAACAAACATTCTATCAGCATGTGTGCAAACCCGAGTTGTTTCACTTCATATCCAGAGGAAATATGCAAATGTCTGATCTATGATTCACAATCCTAGCAGAACAGGGGCTAATGACAATGACTAACAGCGGCCTGATTACCACCAGGTACAGAATCAATGCAAAACACATCTCACAGCCATAATGCCGAACCAGCAGCAGGAAGAAAGTGAATAGTACCGAGGTGGAGATGTTCCTCTTGCCATCGGAGGCGCGGACAAGGCACCGGTACTCGACAGGCTCCCCCTTACTCGCCATCTTCTTCAACCTAGCCTGACACTTCATCGACGCTGCACACATCAAACAACTCGTCACATCAGACTTGCTGAACCCATCAAATCCACAACCCAAACCACACGAACGAGCCGTAAGGGGAGAGGACTCACATCGCTTCATGGTGACCCACACGGAGCCCTTCTCCGTGCTCCGCTCGTACATGTTGGTCAGCTCGCTCAGGAACGGATCTGCCTGCATCAGCACCTGCACAGACCACGCAATGCCGCGAGTAGACATGGTCAGAACCAGTTCAACAAAGCAGGGCGGAGTTTCCGCTCAGTTTTCCACCATCGATCTGAACTACGCGACGCCCGGGACTGGTGGAAGCGGCCGGATCGGTTCCAAATTCTAGGGCGAAAACACCGGGAGATCTGGTTCTCCGCCGAGCTCTTCTCGCCAGATCGCGATTCTCGGCGGGACGGGCATGAAACACGGCGCGGATCGGAGGAACAGAGCATCGGGCAGGGGATTACCATCTTGAGGAGGGTGGCCTCGCGATCGCCGGGGGAGCGGAGGTCTTCCCCTTGTCCGCCGAGCCTTGCTCTCCTCTTCGTCGGCTCCGCCGCTGGGGTTCGGGTCGGAGATGGGGGAGGGGGAGGGGGAGAGGGGAGGGTGGGGTATTGTGGGAGGACGGACGGGGGAGATCACGGGACGGGAGAGATCTGACGGATAAGGTGGCCGGGTGGGACGGCAGGGGCTGTGAACTTGTGAAGGCAACCTTGGACTGGATGACGGAACGGTGACGCCGACTTTTTTTTTCGACGGGAAACGGTGACGCCGACTTGGAAGAGAGGACCGTCAAAAAAAAACTTGGGAAGAGAGGCAGAAACGCCGTGATTCGGTTCCTTGGGCTTGGGCTGAACGGGATAAGCATGACACTCTTTTTTTTTATTCTCCGTATTTATTGTGTTTTATTTAAATCAAAAAATATAAAATTGGATCAAACCATAAACATTTACATTAACAGATATATATGATGTGAAAATATATTCCGTGAGGAATCTTTGGTATCGTAAAAGTTAATGATGTTTTTTTTATAAATTTGATCAAAACATAGAAAGTTTGACTTATGATAAAGCTATAATATACAGAGTAAATAAAACCGAAGAGTATACTATTCCTTCTTATGTCATTGACTATACCAAACATGTTTAGCAATATTTGGGCAAGAGAATGAGATTTTAAAGGTGAGAGTTTGTTAGAAGATTAGGCTTGAAAAGTTGAATAACTAAGTCGGGCCGGGTCGGGCTTGTCTCATGAGGCGGGCTCGGGCCTTGTTTGCAACCCAAAAGGTAATTCAAATGGGGCTTAGGCTCGGACTTCTATTTTTTTTTAGATTTTTGTGTTGGGCTTTCACACGTAAGCACTTAAAATGCAATCTTCAGACTTTCAAGCTTGATTTCGGGTTGGGCTCACTCGGGTGTCGCCCAAATCCACCAGCACTGCAGCCACGTCGGCACTCCCAATCGACCATCGCAACCCCCGACTCCCACCAAATGGCCAGATCTAGCCGTCGGGGTTCGCCGCTTGTGATTTTATGCGCACAACAGCCCCGAGCACTCACTGGCTCACCTCCTCCCGATCCTTCAGTGACACCCAAGGAGGGGGGGGGGAGAGAACACTGGAAGTAATCGATCTTTCGTGCAATGGCTCCAGCCCATGCACCGTGGACTGGGAGAAAACCCTGGGTGAAAACGACTCTGACGCCAACACATAGTTTAAGTTTGAATCGAGGAAGAAGATTAGTTTTTTTAAGTTTTTATTTTGTTCGAATCGACAAGTTTTAATCTGTATTATGCAATGTAGTTTGAATGGACTTGTGATATCTATGTTCAAATTTATGTGAGAAAAATGTTTTAGGGAGCTAAATTTAAGAGTTCGGCTAGGAACCATATTTTTTAACTCAGTTTAAGTAGGCATATAGGGCTCAATTATAAGCCTTTTGCTAGGGACGCTTTTCAAAATGATAACAATACGAAACACCTCCGTGCCCATCTGCCCCTCTACCTGTCCTGCGGCTCGTTCTTCCGGTAGCTCCTCTTCATGTGATGGTGGTTCCGGCCTACGGTCAGACTTCCTCATCTTCGGATTTTGCCCCGACGGCATGGGATTGCTTAGACTCGGCCAGGCCGAAATCCTTGCTCGACCTTTCAATGCTGGCAGCGGCGACACCTACGGGTGTCGTTCCCTTACTGGAGGCGATGCCATGGTTTCTATCTGTGCCTTTCTTCGAGCGTCAGGGAAAACTCTAGGTCTCTTTTTTTTCAGATCGGACAACGACGGCGCCGTGGCGTCGTTCTTCTCATGAAGGCGTCGTCTTGTTGCTCGTGGAGTCCTCGATGATGGATTTCGAGATGTTGGTCGTCTTATTGGTTTGGTTTGGGCTGCGTCCTGGGGCGGCGAGTTTAGCCGTGTTTTTCTCTATTTGGGTTGAGCATTCCATGTTTTATATGCTCCGAACGCCATGTTCACGCCTCCTGCATTCGATTCATGTGTTGTATCATCACCTAAACTTTTTCTTATTTTTTTTATTAATAAAAAATGGTACGCAAGCTTTGTGTATTGGTGAAAAAAAAACACGACAGACAGGGAGTAGTCGCCAAAATCAGAACGTGATCGACAGCATTTCGCCGGCAGACTACACGAGAACGCATGCAGCCTTCTCCAATCTTTATTTCTACGAATTTATTGCCCGATACATCGATCGATCAAATGGAGGCGCAAGAACGAGCGGCATCTCAAATCGACCAGCGCGCGCGCACAAGTAGACGTACTACTAGTAGGCCGGATGCAGCGCGCCTCCCAATCTAGAGGCGTGCGCGGCGGATCCTGTCGCCGTCGGTGACGACGTGGGCGCGGGTGATGTCCCGGAGCGACGGGCACCCGCTGAGCGCCATGGCCAGCTCCAGCTCGTCCCGCAGCATCTGCAGCACCTTCCGCACCCCCGCCTCGCCGTCCACCGCCAGCGAGTACAGCACCGGCCTACCGATCTGCACGCCACACCAAACCCACACATCGAGCAAGCGTCAGCATCGCCGGCCAAGAAAGAAACACGCAGATCGAGTGTGTCTGTACTTACGAACACTCCCGCGGCTCCGAGTGCCAGCGCCTTGAACACGTCGGTGCCACGCCGGACGCCGCCGTCCAGGAACACCGGCAGCCGTCCCTTCGCCTCTCTGACCACCTGATTTTTTTTACACACTTTTGGTCAATATGCATGCATGAAGATTTTTTTTACTGAAGCTTCCTGAACTTTATCTGCAGTTTCCCATATTCCTTCTCGTAGTACTACAGGTGCGGCTTGCGACTGGTTGGCACACATACCTCTTCCAGGCAGCTGATGGTTGCAGGGACATAGTCCAGCTGCCGAGCGCCATGGTTGGACACGATGATGCCGGCCGCGCCGTACTCGATGGCAATCCTAGCTGCATTTTGCACAAGTTTCTTGATGGACTGATATGCCGCCACAGCAAAAAGAGATGCAGCATTTTGGGAACGGAGGCGTGCTGAAAAAACTTACTGTCTTCTGCAGTCATGACACCTTTCACCAAGATCGGCAACGAGGTAATTGTCTGCAGCCACTTGACGTCCTGCATTTGTGCATCATCAGTGTTCATTATTCCATTCAGTAGGTGCTACGATACCTTCCAACAGCATTTTAAATTAAAAAAAAATAGAGGAAAAAAAAAGTACCTCCCAACAAAGAGATTGGTCGACTTGGCTAGCAACATAGGAAGCCAGCCCAGAATCATCTGTCTGGCAAGCCACAAAGGACATGGTAAGATGTCTGATAATAACATTCTACTTAGGCTCTCTAAAAAAACATTCTACTTAGGCGATTTCTGCGATACGATTGGCTTGGTTGTCAGGCAATTAACCTTGTCCATCTTGCCGAGGTCCAGCGCCGCAAAGTTCTCCAGCACCAGATGTGGAGGCAAGTTGAACCTGTCAAAAGTAATCATAAATTCAGATTTCAGGGTGCAGATTGTGCAGTTCCTAGTAAAATGGAATAGACCATTTATTGAGTAAATTGGCATGATAATGTGCACATCTGTTGGATTTGGACCTGTTCTTGATATCAGCTTCCCTGCGGCCGAGCCTTGGAGTATCGACGGTGAGGGCGATCGCCTTGAACCCCGCCATTTCAGCCCTTTTCACGAGTTGCCGAACTATATTCCTGTCCTTGTAAACCTGACGAAGACAATGATCCACGCCTTGGTCAGTTGGTCAGGTTAAAGAACAAGAAACAATTTTCACATGTTATTATTAGTCTCATAGTTTGTGAGGCTGAAGATGACACATACATAAAGCTGGAAGAAATGAATCCCGGGTCCTACTGAGTTAACCCTTTCCACACTAGAAGTAGCCCATGAAGACAATGTCTGAAAAAAGCATAAACCATATAAAGCTAGCATCAGCACAGTAATTATTGGGAAAGATCAAAGCTGCTACAAGAGTCAGGTGATCTTCCAAACCATTATGGTCCCTGCAGATGCCGCTGCTCTTGCAGTAGCAAGCTCTCCTGCATATATGGCAGATAAACTTCTCTATGAGAACATTGCTCTGGAAATAGCAAGGAGATGGTGACTGCAAATTTGTTTGAATTAACCTTCAGGGTGAGCCATTTTCTGCATGGCCGTGGGAGCGATCATGATCGGCATGGAGACGTCGAAGCCCAAGATATTTGTGGCCATGTTGATATGGGACACATCAATCAGTACGCGTGGTCGGAACCTGAAACCAAATTGAAATCAAAGTCTACAATAAGATAGATGCGTATGATCCTTAGGGCATCTCTAGTCCATGCCCAAAAATTCTCCAAGTCCCACCCAAAAGATAGAAGTTTGAATTTTGATGAGCTATTTTCAACAGGGGCACTTCTGCCCATGCATGTATGTATGTATGCTGATGTCATTTATCCTCTCTGAGAGTTCCTGACGAAATTGTCATCTACTTTGACCATCAGAACCACATATGACAACAAGACTCGTCTGATCCCTTGTCCTCTACTCAATGCCATGAGATCCAATATTATTTGTCCAGGTCTGCTGCCATCTACTTATATACTAATCAAAATGCAAACCAATCACCTACGCGCAGCCTGTCAGGACTAAACTTGTACTCATAACAGTGGGGTTGTAAATTTTTCCACAAGGGTTCATCTGAGACTTATCCTACGCCATCTCCAAAGATTTTATTATTTTAATAACGCAAAAAGTTTCGATTGACGCCGACACTTGCCATTATACATTGTAAAAGAAGTTTATGTCATCCTTGCAAAAAACTAATGCTGAAGCTCTTTCTACCGCCTTACTTTTTTCTGAATTATTAGTTGCTGATGCCAATAAAAACAAGCACAGTTCATCTAGCAGCATATACTACCAAATAGACACAGCTCAGAAGTTGAAAATACAATAAATAGATACGGCTAAAAGCATGAGACCTGCTACTTTGGAGGATAGCTTACAGGATTCTGGAGAAGGCCTCCCTGTTCTCGTTGAGCGTCCACTGATCCTCTGCGCCGGAGGCGTAGTAGTCGTACACCATCTTGGGCAGCTTCTCCTTGACCAGCCTCTCGTACTCGGACACATTCGTGATCATCTCCATGCCCCTGCTCGAACAATCTCATTATTAGTCCCCAGTTCAATCTGTCCATGCCTTTATGAACACAGCAAGCAGTCAAGCAGATCCTCTGCTTTTTGTCTCAAAGACAGTACACCATGAATAAACTGAAGACCGCTCTCGCACAGATAATTTGACAGAGATGAATCAACAAAGGCAAGAACAGCACGAAGAAACGAGGAGGCCGATCTATCCGAGGAGGAGTTGATTAGCTGCAGAATCTATCCATGGATTCCTGATTCGGTATCAGTAGTTCGAGATGTTACTTTCGAATCAGTGCTGAAAAATCGAAAGCAAAACGATCCGACGGACGGCCGAGAAAGAAGCGCAAAATCATCCCGAGAGATCACAAGAAAGAGGAACGAGGCGGGTAATCCAAGGGAAATGAGAGGAAAGGAACCAGTGGGACTCACATGGCTCGAAGGGGGAGGAGCGATGAACGGAGGCAGGCTGCGTGCACGAGGAGGGCTGCGCGACGGCGGCTCGTCCGTGTCCTGGAGCGGAAGCGGAACAGGGGAGGAGGTCCCGTGGTGTCACCGGGGTGTGGTATTTAAAGGCTTTTTTTCAGCAAATGAATGTGGTTTGGTGGTGAGACTGGTGTCACTGTTCTGAACTCCTTCTGATGAGGCAGCCCATCTATAGCTCAGAGGCATGTTCAAAAATGGTATTTAAAAAAATCAATAATGGAAGGAAGATAATGATGGTATTGTTTGTGTCATTATACCTACGTACTTAAAGCAGATTCTAGCATGTAAACGTGATCAGCTTTTGTATTATTATTAGTCTTTTGTTAGCATGAAGTGTTTTTTGCAGGTTGAGATGGTGGAATAGGATACTGGTATCAGTCCCTTGAGATATGCCTCATTCTCTATAAATTTTTATTAGGGATGAATAGATTCCATTTTTACAAACAAGTTGTGCCAAAGTGACAATTTTTATATGGAGTTAGAGTACGATGTAGGTTACAAATATGGGGATCTCATGAGTTGGATAGCTGCACTATGGTGGACGAAACTAGGCGAGATGCACTAGACTGATGGGGATAGGATTTACGACTTCAACTTGTGGCTCTCATAAGTTGTGGAGCTTCAGAAATCCAATTCGGCTCTTGTCACGCACCAAAAATGATTTTGTGCAAATGTTGCTTTTTTTTTTAAAAAGACATGTTTATTGTCACACTCAAATGCCATTTGCAAAAATTTAGAAAGAAACTTTAAGCATTTTGACCTGTGCAGAAAAAGAACGAGTCTGTATGCTAAATGTTACGCTTGATTTTGTTTTTTTCATCGGTAAAGCACTGATATCCCGTTTCGCATGAAAATTGTCAAGCACGGTTTTCACACTAACATGAACATCGGCACAAAAGAAAAATCAGAATTTTTAGTATTTATTTACTATTATTTTAAAATTTATTATTCATCCGAGAGCATATGCTCCCCAGAACCAAAACGGCCATTCTGTGGAGTTTGCCTTGTTAAACCTCTCTTTTTTTGTAGGGACCTTGGCCTCCTTATATAGGGGTTGGAGAGGTGGTGTGAGACTTAGGCCATCTTCACCGCGCGACCCCAAATGAACGTCCGGTTTAGCCGGATTTTGTCCCTTTAGGGTGCCGTCCGCGTTTGTCTGATGGATCGTGGGTGCGCCCAACGCGCGGCCGCACCCAAAACCTGTTCGAGGTGGACGTGAATAAAAAAATTAAAAACTTAAATCAAATGACTAAAAAATTAAATAAACGCAATTAAAAAAACATAAAACATATATATAGGGGTTACGGCCACAAAACGGCCCAGTTTATCAGTCCACTTAAACGACCCAGTTCATAATTAACATAAAACCAAAATAAAGAAAAGCCTCCCGCGCGCTCCAGCCGCGCCCGTCGATGCCGTGGTCGTCGCCGTCTTCATTGGCCGCCGGTGTCGTCGTCGTCGCTGACGAGGTCGACGTATTCCGGTGGCGTCCACAGGTGGGCCGGTGGTCCGTGGTGCATGGGGGCGGCGGGCTGCAAGGTGGCCGGTGGTGCCTGCACCACTTCCTCCCGAGGCGAGGCCTCCCGCTCCGGCGACCGCGACGGCGTGGGGCACCAGTTCACGGCCCCCAGGATGGCCGCCATCTGCTCAGCGGAGCACGACTAGCTCCACCCCTGGCCACCAGGTCAGGGTGGAACGCGGCCACCGGCAGCTCCTCCACCACCTCCTCCCGAGGCGCCATCTCCAGCTCGGGGATGGCAACATCGCCGGCCGCGGAGAGGGCCATCGTCGCCTCGAGGTCCGCCCATTGGCGCTCGTCATGCGTGTGCATGGAGTCCTCCAGCACACGCGTCATGAGCCAGGCCTCCTCCTCTGCCGTCATGCGAGGAGGTGGGGGTGGCGATGGAGATGGCGACGGCGACGGCGTGGGCGTCAGGCCGCGCACCCGTGTACGCCCGCGCACCTGGGGAGCCGCTCAGGGCTCACGTGGTCGCCGCGGCCCCGTCGATGTGCCGGTGAAGAACGACGCCCGCCGCACGTCGTGCTCATCACGGAGCCACGTGTCCCACAATGTCGAGTCAGGGGCGTACCTCTCGTCGTAGTAGAGGTCGTCCGGGAGGAGGAGGCGGCGGCGTTCGATCTCCTGGTGGCACGCACGGCCGCTCTGCGGGACGGGCGGGATCGGCACGCGGTCGGCCGACAAGTGCCAGTTATTGGGAAGGTGGACGTCGCTCCAGGGTAGCGGTGTCCTTGTCTCCCAATAACGGCGGCAGATGGCCGCCTCGATGTAGTGCCGGTCGCGGTCGCCGGCGGCCGTGGGCGCGATGAAGAACGCGGGCAGCGCGGGGCCCGACGTGGTGGCGATGGCGACACGGACTCCTCCTTCTTCACCGAGCCGCGGCGGCGTCCCGACGAGGAACCAGCCTCGCGGTCGTGCTTGCCTTTGCGGCCATAGTTCCAGAGGCCCATGGCTGTGGGCGGCCGACCGGCGAGTTCTTGGCTAGGGTTTGGGTTCGGCGCTGTCGGATTTCGAGGAGGCCGCGGGGTGGCGTGGGGCAATGTGGACGATGACCCGTCCACGCTTCTCACTTAAAGAAGGACGGCGACCTTTCGATGTGCGGATGATAGGTGGGGCCGCCCGCTCATGGGCATTGATGTGGGCGGGTGGGAGGTAGGTGGCCGCCTGCCACGCGGCCCCGACGCGGACGAGGCGCGCGTCCGTTTGGTGTCCGTCGCGACCCAAACCCGATGCAAGTTTGCGCTCGAAATGGGTCGGCTCAGACACAAAACGGACAAGATGGGTTCAGGCCGTCGCGCGCTGAGCCGCCTCGTTTGTCCGTTTTACCCCAAATGGACGGGGCCGGACAGGATAGGGTCGCGCAGTGGAGTAGGCCTTAGAATCCTCCATGAATATGTGTCTCTGCTTTCCATGGTTGAAGGGAGCAAATCCGAGTATCTGAAAGGTACCTCTTAGATTATGGCTCAATATGAAGACAAAGTCGGTTGAACTCATATGGACCCCCCATTTTCACTAGTCAATATATACATGCAATGTACGTTAATTTAGAAGTATATTAAGTGCATGTAAATATTAAGTAGAATATTATTTGCATGTTTGGCGTGGGAGGTTCATGAGTATTTTTTCCTCCAAAATCATCAAGGTTAGCTTGTGTAGGTTTGGTCCGCTACAATATCTTCATCGAATTCATGGTGGAACGTTGAAATGTAGAAGTTGAAGCTCAAGATGATGATTTCGACTAACCTTGATGTAGCATTTTGTATCACTAATCTTTGTTCTCATTTTTGTGCCGGTTAGAGGC